AATGATGAGGCCTTTCAAATAGACTGTCACCCGACGCAGCTCTCGCCCGTGTGCAAAATCATTTCTGTCTGACTTCGATTGTTTTAAAATCCATTTTTCGTTTCCCATTACCATAGTTGAGAGCTGATTTTTATGCGCGCTCAGTCTCCGCAGAGGCCTCTGAGATGATGTGGGCCCGTGCTCATTGAAAGAAAATGGCATTCGAAAATGTCACGTTAAAATCTCAGTCAAAGATGATGAGGCATAATCACTCCCAACTGATAGCACAACAAAAGAGGACATGGGGGCGGGGGGGTTTCTATTTGTATGTTTGGGGGGATGAAATGTCTCATTTAATCCGTTCAGAAAAAAGAAAAAGCGAGAGAGGAAAACGAGAGAAAAGAATCAAATGCATCTCTTTGTGCATGTGTATTGTGTATGTGGGGAGTGCTGTATGTTGGAGTGGGCACTAGGCAGGTGTACAGTATACGTGCACATGTGTTTGTGTAGTGATGTCATCATCAAAAGAAGCCAGTTGATGTCCCCAATGTGCTATGCAGCATTCCCATTCCCGCTTCTTTGTGCTCAGTGATTTATGTGACCCAGCCACATTTTGAATCGTATCAAATGTGACAGGTGAAGCAAAGTCGAGGCCTGGCACTCCTTGGGAGCGAGGACTTTGGAGACACACCAAGGGGAGGGAAAAAAAAAAGTGTTAAAAGCTCTATTTTTGCATGAACCGGGCATTTAATTTGAAACACATGTCTCCTGACTCCAATACGCATGATTCGAATGATCAGCTGATCGACACGCTCTTTACAAGCTCGATAATGATCCTGATCATTTGAATTACGTTGGGTGACTCAATACCAAGAAAATAACATCGCACTCTCTTGATCAAATGTGCTTTTGTCTTATAATGGCGACGTACAAAAGCACACAGTCAACAAATGCAGTCTCCCATTTTTGCATTGACATTTGAATTACCTCATTGAACTGCACGACAGCGAAATTTCTTGAAGAAGCGGTTCATTAAAAATCAATTCCACACAATTTCGAAATTTGTTTAATCAATGAATCAACAAATCAGCTTGGAGTAATCGGTTATCACACGCGCCGTGTCCCCAGTCGCAGCGCCCGGTGCCTAGCGCCGTTTTTGGTGCACTCTGAATAAGATAAGATAACAAAACCTTTATTTGTCTCACAATGGAGAAATTCCCAATTTACAGCAGCAAAATGATGAAAGGGAGAAATAGAAGAACAAAAAGTATTTAATTTATAAAATATAAATATATAAGCATATTAAAAATGGGTGAGTGGGGGTGAGTCCAGGATTTCAGGTGTGTCTATTCAATAGCCTGACAGCAGTCGGCAGGAACGAGCGGCAGTACCTCTCCTTCTTGCAGCGCGGATGTATCAGTCTCTGGCTGAATCAATCAATGTTCCGAGGCACATAACCCAATGAGTGAACTCCCAGTGCTGTCAGGGTGGCCTGGAGGGGGTGGGAGGGTCTGTCCATCAGAGCTTTTAGCTTGGCTCGCATCCTCCTTTTGCCCACCTCCTCCACAGTGTCCAGGGAGCAGCCGAATGACAAATTTGAGCAACGTTCAAGTTTCCGAACGGTCGCTCTGAGCTTATTTTCGAACGCAGCCCTCATGCGCAAGAAACCAAAAGATTGTTTTGTTATTGTTTGGTTGGTGTCTTATATGAAACTGCGACATTGCGCAATTTATTGGACAGACTTGTTTGAGATCGCACAGCGTAATTTGGATGGCATTTTATTTAGTATTTTTAAATCATCTTTTTATTTTTGACAATATCTGTAAATTTAGTTTCCTGCTCTTAATTGTGAATGCATACTTGATGGTTTTAAATGCTCCTGAAATTAAGTGCTGCTTGACGAGCCTATATTGTGTATGTATGTGACGTCACTGAAGGCCTAAGGTTGAAATGCACGGCCCGCCACTGCTGTTCTCGACCAAATCGGATTTCGACCTGAAAATTCGAGATTTTTACACCTCGAATTACGACCGAAAACCGGTTTTCGACCAAACTGAGCAAACCCAAATACGCCACTCCACTCCTCTCGGCTTCCTCGTGTAATGTTCATTATGAGCAGACGTGTTTGTTTTTCGTTTTTTTTTTTGGTTTTTTTTTTTTTTTTGTTATTACTGTGTATTAGCCCCGAATCATGGGCTAAAAAAATAGTTTCGGATTTCGAACAAATCGCTTTCGAACAGCCTTCTGAAAGGGATTATGGTCGAAAAACGAGGTATGACTGTATGTCATCAAATAAATAGATTTATGGGGAGTCTGAAGGGGCTATAGCCCCCCCCCATACCCTTTAGGCCTCGCGTAGCGCCACACGTTTTCAACGCCTCCTAGTTTGATGCATTGCCATTTGAAACGGCAGAAATGACAACATGCCTCTTGAACGGAAAATGATTTTCTTTGGCAAATCAGTGTTTCAAGCAGCTTTTATTTTTAAATCCTATGTTTCATTGTGTGGGTGTACCTAATAGACTGTCCAGTGAGTGCACATTTCCAATATGCAACCGTGGTGTCTGCTCTTCCCATCTCCCACAGTGAAATAAAGACAGACTGCTCATAAAAATGAAGATAAATAAGCCTATGGAGGCTTGCAAGGTCGAATGCTTGCAATAGAAAGCTGAGGGGGGATTTATCTGTGTTTGTAATGGCAATGCTCTTTGCTCTCTGTCAATGACCCATAAAAAAAGAAAACAAAGTCAGAGCCGCTATATGGTGATGAAGCGCTCCTTGAAGATTTGTGTGCATTATTATGGCCCGTTCCCCATTTCTCGACCTTTTGCAAATGACGTCTTTTGTCTTTTATTTTGGCCTCGGATCTTATTTGCCATGTGTGTGCAAAAGAACGCTGGCACAGAGTGATAGAGGCTAGCTAAGAGTGAAAGTGGCGCACTAATGGAGTCATTTGTCCACCAAACCACTCTGGAGCTTTTACCGTTATTGCTTCTCGGGTAGCTAAACTTGTGTAAAGATGGTCGCTTGATAGTCAACCGTGGCTCACGAGGCTTTTTTTCATTGGCTTTCATGGATCAATTGCTGCATTTTTTTTTAAATCACAGGAAGCCATTTTGACATTGAACATGTGGATTTTCTTGTTGAAACCTCATCTTGATCGAAAACATGCCATCAAACTCATTCTTGGCGTGTAGCGAAATGAAAGGGAAAATTCACGCTTTTGTCAGTTGGATTTCGATGATGCAGCCAAACATCATTTATTTTCAAAATGGACAATATTAAATGGCAAAAGCATTTTTTAAAAAGTATTATTATTGTTCATTCCCTTTGCGGACTCCCTAGATTTGAAATCATTTTTACCAGTGTCTGAAAGAAAATCTGCAATGTTTTGCAGGATTCCGAAAGACAGTGTTGTGAAAACTCTTTTGTTTAAAAAAAAAAAAAAAGTTTATTTATTTATCAACTGTTGTTTTATTTCAATATTCACATCACATCTTGTGCAGGCCCCATTCGATCCAACAAATTGCACTTACAGGCCAAAAATGAGAATATGATGTGAGCTTTTCAGGGAAATGTCATTACTGCTCAAAAGAATAATTACACCGCTGCTGCTACTCGCCTCGCAGCACGATATTGCTCACACGTTCATAATGGTCCGATTGGTGCAACATTGGAGTGGGACCCACGAAGACTGATTGTCACCTCTTTGTATTAGAATGAGCAAAATGTGACATCTCTGTTTTTTCTCTCGATGAGTCAGTTCACAGCCTTTACAATTGTCTGATACTGAATAATAGTCATCTCAAATCTAAATTGCTCTTATTTCGGAGTTCTATGGTTGTGTGCGTTTGCAGTTTGAATGAACGATAACATGGATTATCTTGTCTGCGGAGTTTGCATGTTCTCCCCCCGTGCTTGTGTGGGTTTTCTCCGGGTACTCCGGTTTCCTCCCACATTCCAAAAACATGCATGGCAGGCTGATTGAATACTCTAAATGGTCCCTAAGTGTGATTGTGAGTGCGAATGGTAGTTTGTCTATGTGTGCCCTGCGATTGTTTGGCAACCAGTTCAGGGTGTCCCCCGCCCACTGCCCGAATACAGCTGGGATAGCCTCCAGCATGCCCACGATCGTCGTGAGGATAAGTGGATCAGAAAATGGATGGATGGATAGAACAAAACATCATCTGTGTCATCTCCATCAGACGCATGCACTTCAGGGCCATGTGATGAGTTCCGAAACCATTTGAGTTTGGCGTCTTCGGTCGCATCCGCTTCAATCGCTCTGTTTTTCTTTATTCTTGCCTTTTTCTGCGCCAACATTGCTCTCTCCATTATTCATCTTGACTATTGACTGCATCGTCTTGGCTGTGTGAAGCAAAGCTAATTAGTTTACATTTTTGGGACAAAATGCTGACTCTTCACTGAGTCTCGACCAAGTGTACTGATTGGCTGACAGCCAGGAAGTGAGTGGTGGCGGGGTTAGGGGTTGGGTCTGGGGGGAGGGGGGGCGGGTCGATGCCTGGTGTGTGTGTGTGTGTGCGCGTGTGAGTGTGTGAAGAGAGAGAGAAAAAAAAGAGGCGCCCCCTGGTGGCCCACAGGGAAAATGCACAGTGCTCCAGGTGAGCCTGGCAGCAGACGGATTGCAGAATATGCGTTTTGATTTGGGTTTTTTTTTTTCAGTTCTTTAGTTTTCTTACGCTTTGCGTAATATGACAGTGCCGTCAATAGTTTGTGACAGAAATACAGGGAGACTGGAAGAGTCACAGAAAGGCAATGAAGTTGACTTCGTTGGAATTGTATTGGTTGATTCGTGGATGTAGGTGCACTTTAGGTTCATCCTGAAATTTTACCCTTAAGATGAATATTCCTAACTTTTTTCTGAGTAGTACTCGTTAAAATAAAATAGTCGGCGTACAGCATTTTAATATTTTTATAAAACACTGTTGACGAAACAGCATTGTCTTGTAAGAAATGCATAATTAGTCACTGACAATGTTTTTTTTTTTATCCTCTTCAAGGTTTCCAGCTCTTGTAAGACAGAGAACACTGTGAACACCAGCTGGTCCAGTTCCCGTTGATGCTGGTGGAGGCTCAATATTCCGCTTCCCGCCAACTCCGCCTGCGCCAAGTCCACCTCCCTCCCCCTGCCATGGCGATGAGCAGCGAGCCTGGCATCGAAAGGTTGGGGTCCAGTTCTGAAAAACAGAGCAGCAGTCTCACAGACATCCTGGCCGCCATGTCCACAGAAGATCTGGATGGTTCAGTGAGAAATGGACGTGCTCAGCTGGACAGGGATCAGCCCAGAAGGACTCAACCGTCACGTCCTCAGTTGACCGGAAGGAAGTTCTCTCTGCAGGAGAGAGGCACTTACCTCTCCTGCAAAGGGGGCTACACACACATCTCTCCTCGGGTGGCTCGAAGGCCCACGGTGGAGTCGAAACGTGTGTCCATATCAGACTCACAGGTGAGTATTCATTTAAGTAGAGAGTATTTTCTTGTAGTTGTTGTTGTTGTTGTTTGTTTGTTTTTTGGGATTGGAAAAAATAAACCCAAGACTAAATTTGGATTTGCGGAACCACCCAAAAAAGTTTTGATGACCAACACGGAATTGCTCATTTGTGTGTAATGTTTGTAAGGGAAATATCCATGAGTAGTATGATGTAAAATTTACAATATTGTGGGGGTCACGAACCATGAAACGCGATACAGCGAGGCGACACAGTGCCTATCAAACTAGATCGTAGTTTTTAACGTAGTTGCCGGCAGGCTAGCAAGCACATTGTTTCGCGTCAAAAATGTGATTCGCAGACATAAAGTGCATAGCCATTGATCTGTGATGCTAAAGCGGGGAGTTCAGCAGAGGAGGCTGCAGCGCTGCACGACTAATTGTTCAAAAACAACCATCTGAGAGGGGGTGGGGGGGGGAGAGAGAAAAACCTCTGGTGCTTATTTGAGAGCTCACCAATATTTTTATGAGCAGCACCACCTTTGAGCTTATACAATATGTATGTTTTTTTTTTTGTTTTTGTTTTTGTTTTTGTCACGGACTAATTCTGCATTTCTTACAAGACAATACTGTATCATAAACAGTGTTTTATAAAAATATTAAAATGCTATACTCTGACTATTTTATTTTCATGAGTACTACACAGAAAATAAGTTCGGAATATTCATCTTCAGGGTAAAATTTCAGGCTGAACCTAAAGTGCACCGACATCTGAATCAACCAATACAATTCCAACGACGTCAACTTCATTGCCTTTCTGTGACTATTCCAGTCTCCCTGTATTTCTGTCACAAACTATTTAGTTTTTCCCGCTTTTTTTTAATCCACTGCCCTATTTTGTCCTCTCATTATTTTGCACAAACCAATCAAAGCATTGCTAGCAGTCCAAAACTGGCGGGGTAAGCACTTAGGTCGTTACATTCGTAGAAGAATTGCACCAGTCTTCCCGACTGTAAGTTTTTTTTATTTATTTATTTTTTTTAATTTCCAATTTAGCTTGAATATGCAAATTTAGCGGTGTCATTAATTGCACAAATTACACTGTCTAAAATGATGAAAACGTTTTTCTTTCTAACTGATTTCTAAGTGAATTGTTGTTGCTGATCAACAACCCAATTAAACAAAACCACCATGATGACAACAGTATTTTGTTTTTAAACATAAAATGAAACAAAACAAACCAAAAAAACAAACCTTTTCTCCCCCTAATATCCCCGAACCAAAGCAACCCAGAGTTTCACCTGTTAATATACTTGACCAGACTAAACTCTTCTTTTGAACGCTCATTCTCATCCCTGCCCAAACTCTATCACAGTAGTCAGCAATCTCCAACACAAAATCCTCATCCCAGCTGTGATTTTTTTTTTTGGGGGTTGTTAGCCCTGCAAGCAAAACCTTATATAACCTGCTTCATGAGCTGCTGCTGTATTTTATTTTTTATTTTTTTGTCATGCTATTCCCGTCTGTTTTTGCACCATCGACAAAATGTTCTTCCCCTGCTCTCAGCCTTGGAACACAAGCCTCAGGCGGTGCTCTGGCTCTAGCCACCGCCACCTACCAACTCTCGTCCGACATGCCTTACATCCATTTTCACTGGGGATCCATCTCTTGATCCTACAATTTCAGCACTCACTGGCTTTGCCGCGTGTGTGTGCGTGTGTGCGTGCGTGTGTCCCCACACCATCCAAAGCCTCTGACCGTTCTGTCGTTTGCTCTCCTCCACTGGCTGGCTGACACTGATCTGTAGTGATGGTGGTTGCTATGGTACCGCAAAGCAGCCTTTCAAAGCAATACCACTCTAATGGACTTGCAGACAGTAAACACCAACTACTGACTGCACCATCGACTAGCCGGCAAAAGAAATCAACTTTGGAAACCAACAGCAGCGTGTTGATTCTGCATCTTCTTTGTTCTTTTTTTTTTTTTTTTCTCAGCCGGTGTGCCCTAGTATTGATTGATGATTATGTTTCTACCCTCCCACTTTCCCCTCCTAATTTTTACCTCTGACAGGATTGTATCCAGTTGAACCAGTATAAGTTGAAGAGTGAAATTGGAAAGGTGAGTTTGGCGGAGTGTGAATGGCGCTTCCCTGTTTCACTGTGAATTTGCGTTTTTTTTTCATGGCACGTGTACACTATACAATGAAAACAAACTTGATTTATGGGGGGAATGAATTCGAGCAACTGTTCAAATGTTGAAGCTCAATGATTTGAACCCTTTCAGGGACAGCGGTTACTACAGTGGACAGCTTGCCATGTTATCAGGTTACAGGGTACATGAAAGGGTTAATATAGTGCAATATCGTCACTAGTCACACAACAGCATAATTTATAGCTGTGTAAATATTCTCTATTAAATACGGTCAGTTTTGGTGCTGTCAGCGATGCCCTTAACAATATGTTTCTGCTGTGATCTGTTTTTGCGATACAAGGGGCAAAACATTAGAAACACATTATCTTTGACAGAGGTGTTATAAGACCTTTTAATGCTGGGGTGTCAAACTAATTTTTGTCATGGGCCACATTTTAGTTACCGTTTCCCTTGGAGGGCTGTTATGACCGAAACCAAATTAAAAAAGTCAATAATAACGGTTTATTTCAACTATTGTTTAAGTACTGTACTGAGGGGTTTTGTTAAAAAAAATGCTTCCAATATGCCTGTTATTTATTACATGTGATAATTTTAAATTTTGGTCGAGATTTTAGCAAGCATCATGGAAGTTGACATGTTTGATTTGCCTTCGCGGGCCACATAAAATGATGTGGCGGGCCAGATCTGGCCCCTGGGCCTTGAGTTTGACACCTGTGTTTTAATGCAGGTATTGTATGATTAAACCTTTAAGAAGAGGATGAACGTATATTTGTCACTAATGTTGAAAAAAAAAATGCACTGTATCAGTGATTGCCTGACATACATTGTTTCCAGCAATTTCAGATTATTTTTTCTGCATTTTGAAAAATTGGAAGGAATAATACACAAATAATTATAGTGTCATTTAGTTGTAGACATAAAGCATGCAACCTGTCTTCCACATGTTTGGTTTACTTTAAAAGCAGCGATGTGACAGAGATGCTAGAGGCCGATGACCCAACCGAAAGTAGCACAGTAAGTAGAGATCCTGGAGCGGTGAAGCTGTACAGGCCAAAAATGTTGGTTTTTGAATAGATTCAGTGCAGCCGTCTTGGATGGCTGCATTTGTTTTCATTAATGAACAGCAAACTATGGGGGTAAAACCTGGATTGACAACTGCATCTTTATTTTTTGTTTTGCAGGGTTCCTATGGTGTGGTCAAACTTGCATACAATGAGGACGATGACAAACATTATGTAAGTCAGCAAATTGATTTACCGGTTAGCAACCAGTAAATTAGATATTTTTTTCTCCACCACAGTTATTCCACACATGTCTAAGTTTTGCGTTTTCCATCACCAGTAGTTTTTAAAATGATATATTCTTCTCGGTTTTCTTTCCTTGGTGGAAACCAATTTGCCAGACAATGCATGTCTGTGCTTTTTACGCCCACTGCCTAACCTGACCACCTACATGTGGTTCTAATGCTGGGAATTAAAAAAAAAAAAATGCTGGCTAAATGAAAAAAAAACGTGAACTAGGTTTTCAGTCAAATGTTCATGAGGAGGAGTGTTTTTTTTTTTTTTTTTTTAAAAGACATCTCCATTCTTATGTTTCGAAGCATTCACTGCTGACGCTGATTGTTGAGTGTGACAGAAATGGTAGCCTCTTGGGACAGATTGTGGGTTACTGCAACTTGTCTCCGGTGACATCTGAGTATCCATCCATGCATTTTCTAATCCGCTTATTCTCACAAGGGTCGCGGGTGCATTGGAGCCTATCCCAGATGTCTTCAGACAGTAGGCGGGAGATGGGGGGGACACCCTGAACTGGTTGCCAATGACATCTGAGTACTGTATAATCCTAAATAACAGTGACAGGAATCAAGAGCGGAGTAGATGAATAATGGCAGATGTAAAAGGTTGATTCTGTTCTCTGGTAATTTGAATTTTGTTTCACGCGAGCTTTTTTTTTTCCCCCCATCTGCAGCTTGTGCCACACATTCACTGATTTAAATCGTGTACACACGCATACACAAAGGCAGGCTTACACGTCAATCTTCTACTTGCGGATCAAAATTGATCAATAACGTCACCGCTGCTAACTTCAATAGTAACTGCTCTCTCAGTTCTGCAGTGCATCAAAAAACAAAAAAAATTGGTCGACGCCCACTCAATGTCAGGTTTACACCTTTTGAGAGATTTTCTTCCACAGTAAATGTTGACAACAAAACATTCTCACCAATGGACAATTCAGAATGTTCAATTAATGCCTGTTTTTGGAACGTGTGAGAAGGCTGGTGGATGTGGAGACAAAAAAAAAAAACATCGAACACGGAGCTGAATCTCGAACCCTAAAACTCAGAACTGTGAGACAGATTTTCGAAACTCTCGACCACCAGGCTGCACGTAATCCAGTGTCTTTTAAATGTGATCTCACCACTAATTATAAGATGCCAAAAGTTACTTTCGCAGTCGCAAACTTTCTGTCAGCAGTAGCTTTTTGTTTTCTTTCTTTCATCATCGGTGAAGGTCTCAAGAACGCAATACTATCATAAAAACGGGTGAATTTTCGATAGAGACAATTTTTTTTCCAGTCAAGGCTTTAATTATAATGCTGTGAGGACGCAGATACACACCTGCCAATACATTGTTTCTGTTATTGATAATCAATTAAAGAGTTCATTGATTGTTTGAGTGCTCCATAAATACAGTTGAGTTGTGTTGAGTTTTAGCTGGTCTAAATCCTACGGTAACCGGACAAAAAATTGCTTTTTTGCTTTGCAGGCCATGAAAGTGGTGTCCAAGAAGAAGTTAATGAAGCAGTGTGGTTTTCCACGTAAGTCAAGGCCCTCCCCGCGCCTTCAAAAACACAAAAGGTTAAGTTATTATATTGCAAAAAAAAACCATCAGGAATATGAGGATTACTTTTTTTTTTTTTTTTTTAAGAATTCCCTGTACGGATGAAGAAAAAAGAAATCATCATCAAAGCATGATTGTAAATTGGTTTTTGAGGCACATTGGCACTGAATTGCTGCATCGAACGGGCTTTTAGAAAGGGTCTAATCACTCTATTTTATCCATTGTGGTGTGTGTGCATGTGCGTGCGTGTGTGTGTGTTTTAATGAAGGCATTAAAATGATTTTGTTGCATGAAGAGAATGCCAATATACCAAATAGTGATTACTTTTTCAATGTGGCCAAGTCATTAACACCCACGTCCCCTATCCATTCAACTCTGGTTGCTATCGCTAATCAATGCAGCTGTTTCCAAGTGTGTGTTAGGTTGTGTGTGTGTGTATTTGTGTGGGTGCACCATGAAGTGTATATCATATTTCTCGATTGAGTTTCTTGATGAAAAGATGGCATATGTTAGAATATGTCATATTCTGAGAAGAGATCAAATCTGAATGTTTTTCTAAATTTGTGCGTGTGCACACTTTGGGGATTCTGCAGGTCGTCCACCTCCAAGAGGACCAAAGGCAGTCCAAGGAGAGCAGCCCAAATTCTTGGGACCATTGGAAAGAGTCTACCAAGAGATCGCCATCCTCAAAAAGCTCGATCATGTCAACATTGTGAAACTAGTGGAGGTGAGTTGATCACTTTTTTTTTTTTTTTTTTTTAGGTAAACACGAATACATATTGGATCCAATCACACTGACAATAGAAGATCGATTTTTCTGATTCACCCACTCGTCATGGAATCTAAATTTATTGTCATTGCCCATGCACAAATATAGTGCTCCAAAATTCACGTTACAACCCATCCAAAAGACATAAACCATGACCAACAGAGAGAGCCAGAACGGAAAAGCCTGGCTGGTCGCAAAAATTGTCGCGGATTTTCTTCGATGAAAAACAAAAATATAAGGAAGTGGGAGGCATGGAAGCAAGTCCCAAGCTTTGCTCTTTTAACTCATTCAATTCCATCCATTTTCACTGGAGCAACCCCCTCAATCCCAGCGTTTTACTGGATTTTGACTCATCTTGCAAGGCTCACAGAATATTTGGTTCTAATGCTATATAAACATGGAGCCTACCAAAATAAAGTTTGGACTCTCTTCTTTCATCTTTTTCCATTCTTTATCAATCGGCATTACAAAATGGCTTGGTTTCATGGAAGTGGTGATTCCTGGGCAAAAAACGGAGAAAAAGAGCTTTTTGTAAAACCATGCATTTCAATCACGTGAGGCACCACTGCCACCTACCGGTTGCTTTTTTACATGATTTACAATGCAAACGCTTATTGTCATTCACAGATTGCATCAGACCCTCCTCCTTCCTCTCTATGACGCAAAAAAAAAAGACTTAGACGTACAAGTACGTCCTTGGTAGGCGGGGCCTAATTTTAAAAAGGCGTACAAGTACTTCTTGCAGAATGAAAGAGTTAAGGGAGGGGTACAGTATGGGATTGGAAAAAAAAACCTCTGCAACAGCCACATGTGTAGGTGGCATAAAGAAACGACTCAAATACTTACAGGGGGCAGATGTAATATGGGCGGCGACTGCAGCCTTTTAAGGTACGCTGCACATCCTCAGTACACCTGAAGGACAGGTTCTGGGGGGACAAAAAGATTTTGATTCGAGTGTTGTGTACGCCATTGTGTGAGCATGTGACAGTGTGTCTGTACGTCTGTGTCCTCGATCACCAGCCAGCACGCAAAACCACATGGTCTCGTTGCAATGGAGATGACCTCCCTGACTCCTGAACTGTGACACGAAGCCCAGTAAAATGAGGGGGGTGAGTGAGAGAGGGGAGGCTCCAGCATCTGCCGGCATAAACATCCAGGAGATAAGGGTTCCAATCATTAGATTGGTCATGCCATGTTTTTCTTTGGACTAGACCTGCAACCATATCAGTGCACCTGATTGTTCTCTGAATTCTTCTCGGGTCAAAAGGACTTTCATTGTGGGTTGACTAGGAGACTGCATTCCAGTCCCCTTTTTATTTATTTTTTGGTCTCGTTATGAATATCGAAGCCCACGCAGTGCAGAACAGATTATAAGCAATGAATGTTTTGTGTCCATTTGTCACAGATGGCTGGGACAAGCAGGAATATCATCCATGCTGAGTCATAGAGTACCGCTTTTTTTATTTTCAATTAAGTTACTCATTTAATCTCTCTTAGTCAGCCACTACATTAGTCAGCAGCCGCCAGTAAAAGTACCACCTTGCGCGGGGTCAAAATCTTCTTTTTGTGTGATGACTTACTACTTTTAAAACTATATTTGGAAAGAGTCATATTTCCATGATTACCGCATGCGTTTCAGCCAACTAGCTTTCATGTGTGAATTAGAAATTAAATTTGCTCAAAATGGGGAAAAGATTCTGAGTATTACGAACAGTCATGTTGCGATTGTGGATATTGAAATATTAAGAGCAAATATGTAAAATTAAAAAAAAAAAAAAAAAAAACCTTCCAGTATAAGGCACATTAACTCGCACTAGTTTTTGACTGTTTCGCTTTCCACTTGTGTCTTTCTGCGAGCATTTAATGATCCATTATTGTGTAATGATCCATGATTAAAATGCAAATGATGCATTTACAAAAAAATAAAAATAATCAATTACTTCTCCCACCCCTTTTATATCTAATTAATTCTTTCATTCGAGGATGGCACTGATTCGCCTCAACATCATCTTTTGGATCTTCAAGCTACGAGATTATAAACCAACATTCCCAGATGAACTGACACACTTCAGGCCTGACTTTGCCAGACCTTTATCTTCCCCTCTTGTCGTTTATACCCACAAAGACGCTTCACCGAGTCGCCTTGCGCCAGCTACGGTGATGACATGTCTGTTTCTTAAACACGCCACCAGTTAGATTGAAGCAAGCCATTGCGGGGGATGACATTTTGAAATGAAATCTCCTCTGCTTTCCGTTGCCGAACTGTAATGCTGCTTTAAATGTGCCTTGACAGAACAGGTTAAAGAGTTAACAACAGTTGGGTCGAAAACGACTTTGCAGCTGTCACAAGGACTCCTTTATTGAGTGATTAATTATTTTTGAATGTCAGTCGACATATCCGTCATACACAGAAAGTCATTTTTTCGAAATGATGCCTTGCTTATTTATAGCATGCGGTCTCAGCCTGTCATTCACTGCCGTGTTCGTCGTCTAACAGGTGCTGGATGATCCTTCCGAGGATAACCTTCACATGGGTATGCACGCTGCATTCTCTTCCTTCTCTGCTTTTTTTTTTTTTTTGGGCCACTTCAGTAACTGGCCTTCTTATAACTAATTCAGTTTGTCCCGAGCTTCCCTTTCCATCTCCTCGAGGCGCACGCTAACCCTCATCAGCAATGTTAGGTCACAGTTGGAACGTCAAACATCTCACTTGCTTGATATGGCCCATTTACACAATTCAGTGGTCCAATTCAATGCCATAAATTTGCTGTTGGCTCGCTACCCCGCGAGGCTGCGCGGCGGCCAAACGTCATGTCATGTTTGCATGGATTAATGACTTATTTTGTCTCTGGCATTCATATTTACTTATGCAGTCTTTTTTTTTTTTCCTGACAGTATTCGAGCTGATGCGCAAAGGGTGAGTGCAACGTGTCTTTTGTTAATATTTGAAGGCTCATCCCCTCGGTTTCTCTTCCTCCTCTTTCCCTCATTTCTTCATTCCCTCCATCCATCCATCCGCCCTCAGCCTCCGCCTTTTGAATGTTCTTCTACTGGGCTCAGTGCCGGTCTTTGCGCCTTTTCTTGGCTTCAAAGGGATTTGTAATAAGTTCATGCTTATTACCAGAAGAAGTCAGCTCCTGCATGCACGGGCTACCTCCCCCAGAAAGCTAAAAATGGGATCAAATGAAATGAGACCTGTTGTTATTACGTAAGAGTGCGAGGGAACGCGGTTAGACATTACATGCTTGCATGCATACGGTTGATCGGATTTACGATTTGATCTTTTAATCTTGAAGCGCAAGGTCACGAAAAAGGCATGGTGTTGTTGATTGCGAAGATGATCCACAACAATCTGTTTGATCGAACCGTTTTCTATGGAGTAAGCAATGTGCATTTACAACGACCAAAAAAATGACTGACAACATCAGTTACCTGTTTCTAATTTAATAACATCCTATGCTAGGGGTCGGCAACCCAAAATGTTGAAAGAGCCATATAGGACGAAAAAAAACAAAAACAAATATGTCTGGAGCCGCAAAAAAATAAAAGCCTTCTATAAAATTTACAATGAAGGACACACATGCTGTATGTATGTAGAATTGTTTATGTTATTCATTCCTTTGTTGTGTGTTCACAAACGCCCCCATAGAATTTATTTTGTGATTTCCTCGCTTGATTTTTTGTTTTGGTGTATTATTTTCGCTTCACATAGTGTCAGTGAAGTGATTATGAATTCCGTTTTTCGGATGCTGTCTTTGAACGCCTCTCGAGTTGAACGAGAAGAGAGAAGGCACGAAGTTGGACGCAGACGTCTGGGTTTGTCGAGGCTGTTAAAAGCATAAATAAAGTGTACGTTTTGAAAAACTAACACCACAGCTCTCCTTTTTCGGAGCTGCCACATGTGACTATATCTATTTGAGCTATATTAGCCTACTATCAAAATCGTTTTCAATTTTCAAACATTTTTTATAAAGCTCCAGGGAGCCACTAGACGTTTTCTATGGAGTAAGCAATGTGCATTTACAACGACCAAAAAAATGACTGACAACATCAGTTACCTGTTTCTAATTTAATAACATCCTATGCAAAAGTTCTATTGATATATTTTGATTCAAATGAGAGAAGCAAAATATCGAAAATGTATCTTACTAGCATTCAGGGTAGAAAACTTCATTAATGACCAATCGTGATAACGTTTTGTTTGGTCAGACACGAGTACTGTCCTGTATCTGCTGTAAAAGTGATCTCGGGCAGGCCATTGCACATTTAACTGAATTTGTGTCTGACCGTGTTGTGAAATCACTTCACTCTAACATCTCTCCTGAAAGAGGGAAATAAATGTCCTAATGGGGATCGTGAAAATGTAATTAGTCCAGATGAATCCATGACTCCCTCTTGCATCTTTCAAAACATTTTTCCTCCTTTGTGGGCCAGTTCAGATAATTGTGATGAAAGCGTAAGCTACCAAAACCTACTGGAATCAGATTTACTATATTGTACTCAGATTTTTATCCAGCCTTGATTGTACGGAGAATATCCCAATGTAACAGCACTATAGGTACATAGATCAGCTATGTCCTGGCCTTGTAATCACAGTGTGCTGATCAATGGCGTTCACTCCCCCAAATTACCTTCAGCGAAACCTTTCAAATTGTAATTGGGCAAAAATGCCTCCGGCACACATAAATGCGGCGTTGGCGATGTTTGACTTTGACTTTCCATTTCGGAGCCCTGCCCGGATATGTAATCTATCAATTCCAAGCGCCGGTTGGCATATTAAAGTGCATCTGAAATGGAAAACTGTGTGCACTGTCAATTTGCAGGCCCGTGTTGGAAGTACCCACCGACAATCCGTTGTCAGAGGAACAGGCAAGGTTATACTTCCGAGATGTCATCCTTGGTATTGAGTACTGTAAGTATCCTTCACATGGAAGCCTCATGAGTACAATATAAGGGACGTTTTTAATCAAGTAAAAATTGCGACTACATTTAATTGTGCATATTATGACGTTGTTTTGTGTCTGCCCAAAAGGATGTTTTTCAAAAATATATATCAGTTTCCATCGGTACATACAAGAAGGCCAAAGAGTTCAGGACCCTTTTCTTGGGGAGTGTTTCTGCTTACAACCTAATCAATACTTTGCCTACACTGCAATATATCCCTTCATTCATGTTTCTTTAGACGTTCCCTTGTATGCTGCAGTAGATTGGTTTCACGAGGCTTCAGTCCTAATGATCCCGAATCAATACTCGCTTGCCATTGCACCCTTCAGATAAGTGCAGAGAGGACTTAGAAAATAGATAACCTCTCGTGCTGAGGGGTTCTTCAGTGAGTTAGATGAACCAGGTTCCTCTGACAAGCCTGCCTTTAAGTAAGATTGTATTGAAGTCTCCATGTGAAGACATCTTTTATTTATTGTTTATTAATGCCCATAGCAATTAGAATGTGCTCATACTAGACCAGGCATGTCCAGCTCCGGTCCTCGGGTGGAGGGGGGGCACTGTCCTTCTGCAAGACAATGGATTCCAAGGATCAGCTCATAAGCAAGCTCTGAAAAAAACAAGAGAACCATCCTTATCATATGAATCAGCTGTGTTGCAGCAGGGACAGATTGAAAACAGGCAGGACAGCGGCCCTTGGGGACCGAGTTTGGACACCCCTGGACTAGACCATCTTGTTTGTTCGGATCAGCAATTCTTTTTATGTAGTTGTGTTTTGGATGTTATGATAAGCAGTACATATCATAGCCTGGGTTGCTCTGTGTCCCACTGTGTTCCACTCTTGGATGGTGTTCCACAGGGTTACATTTTGAGGCCCCTGTTGTTTTTATTGTATTTTTTGTCCTTGAGTTCAATTTTGAGAAAACAACCAGATCTATGTCCTGCTAAGTAAAAACAATGGCTTCTTCTTAAGGCCACTTTTGTCGTGTCTGGAGGAAATCCAACCCCCTATAGCACAGAAGTTCTTGACTGTCAATGAAAAGAAAACACAAAGTTATGGTGTTTGCTTCCAGTAATATATTGTCTTTGCTCATCCAATTATGACACGTTAAAAGATAATCTGACTACATTTTGTAAATCACCTGCTGAGTCTTGGATCGTTATTAAAGCCTTTGTGAGTTTTAAGCGGTAATTATGAACCTGTCTTCACAGTGCACTACCAGAAAATTGTACACCGGGACATCAAGCCTTCTAATTTGTTACTGGGTGATGACGGCCATGTTAAGATTGCAGATTTTGGAGTGAGCAACCAGTTTGAGGGCAAAGACGCTTTGCTGTCCAGCACAGCTGGTACTCCTGCGTTCATGGCGCCAGAGACCTTGTCAGACAAGCGGAAGAGCTTCAGTGGAAAAGTAAGTTGGCTATGGTGGATGGATGGATGCCTGCATACTTAACGCTTTTCCTTTTTGTTAGCAAAAGTTAGTCACACAGTACCTTGTAATAATAAACATCGATGGCGATGGTGATGGTGATGGTGATGGTGATGGTGATGGATTGGGCAGGCTCAGATTTGTCATTTCGGATCAGAGCCTGAGCTGCTTCGAAATTTGAATTTCTGTGCTGTGAAATACAAACATGTACAACAACGGGTACATTCAATTTCCATTTGAGGGATTTTGATGAGTACCAAAAATAAAATAAATTGAAATAAATCAAAATGTACCACTAAGTTTACGAAAAGGGATTTAAAAGAAACCTGAAATGACCTGTGTGTGTGTGTGCTGCCTGCATACTTAACGCTTTTCCTTTTTGTTAGAGAAAGTTAGTCACACAGTACCTTCTAATAATAAACATCGATGGTGATGGTGATGGTGATGGATTGGGCAGGCTCCCTGCATACTTAACGCTTTTCCTTTTTGTTAGCAAAAGTTAGTCACACAGTACCTTGTAATAATAAACATCGATGGCGATGGTGATGGTGATGGTGATGGTGATGGTGATGGATTGGGCAGGCTCAGATTTGTCATTTCGGATCAGAGCCTGAGCTGCTTCGAAATTTGAATTTCTGTGCTGTGAAATACAAACATGTACAACAACGGGAACAGTCAATTTCAATTTGAGGGATTTTGATGAGTACCAAAAGTAAAATAAATTGAAATAAATCAAAATGTACCACTAAGTTTACGAAAAGGGATTTAAAAGAAACCTGAAATGACCTGTGTGTGTGTGTTCAGTAACTCCCACTTCCACAGTCATTTCACATACAGACACACGCGCACACACTATGACGTATGACGTCAAGGTTAAATAAATTGTTACATAATCCAGCTAAAAATATAATATAAAACAAAGTGAAGGCAAGTGAGATGTGAAACCAGCTGTTACTCTTGACCAGACTTTATTTTCTCCTGGTTTTAGGTTTTGTGAGAGGAGATACATTTTTTTTTTTTGTCTGATTTAAAAGAATCCTTTGTAAAAGATCTGATTCAAGATACTTGAACTAGCTACGGCCTTAAACTGTCGGGATCCATTTTATTATTTTACTCCCTGCTATTCCATCATTTTTTTGCAGTATATTTTTGACAGTTTTTTTTAACATCTTACTTTCTCTTGTTTTTTTTTTTTTTTTTTTTTTTTAAGGCACTGGATGTTTGGGCCATGGGAGTCACTCTCTTCTGTTTCATCTTCGGAAAGGCAAGTTTACTTCTTTCCTCTTTGTTTCAGCACGATTTTTGATTCATGATTCCACAGATTTAGATCCGTACATCATGACCTGCTCTTAAAAAAAGAGAAATGGGGGTCCGTGGTTTACCTCGGTCCAGGCAAACAAGTTGTCGCTGTTTTTCATTTGATTGTGCGACCGAGGTTTTTTTTTTTATGGCTAAGATGTATTTCTCCAAACATTTACTGTAATTGTAATTTTACTACTACGTACCACTTGGGTAGTGATAGACTGCGGCGTGTTCCAACTTATGTTTAAATTTGGGTTGTGTTGCTGCCGCAGGAATAGAGGGAAAAAAACAGAGAACCCTTTGACTCTCTTTCTGTGAAAAAGAAGTCTTCATTATTTATGTCAACCAGTGGCGGTCTTTCAGGGCCAGCGAGGCCTTCTCTGCCTGCCTAAACATTAAATTTTAATATTTGTTCCATCACATTGGATTAATTTTCTCCCAACAGTCTATTCTCTTCATTTTGTAGTGTTGGCTGCACAACATGACCAGGAGTGGATGTGGAGTTTTGATTTTATTTATTTTTTTAAATCCAATCAGATTTCTGCCTCTTTTTGTTGCTATGTGAATACAATCTGCCAAGGGCCTCCAGAATCAATCGTGCTGGCCAGTTGTAATTTAAACTATTTGCGATTGGACTGTTTCGTTAACCAGATTACAAATCTGTCGTCCCAAATCTGACGAGCTGGCCATTGATGAGGTCAACATTTTTCCATCCTATTTTTGGTTGTTCAGAGTAAGTTCAACTTGGAAAAAAAAAAGTGTGAGTTCAACATAATTGTTTGTGGGGTTTTTTTTTTTTTTTTTTTTGGTCATGTTATTAGACAGATATTTTTTTTCATTCAGAGCATTTCATTATATTAGATTTTTGGATACTATTGATCGTTCCAGTGGTAGTGGTAGTATTAAGAGGTGAATTAAATTAGGTATGTTCTCACTAATTGGCCGGGTACAAAAGCACTCTCAGCCTTTCATTTTAATGAGTATCAAACAACTCATTACATGCATCTCTGTTACATTTTCCCTCTAGCAACGGAATAATTGAATCTACCTTTCTTGTGTTTTTTTCCATTGTTTCCCACACCCTGTCTGTAGTGCCCATTTATTGACGAGTACATATTGGCTTTGCACAATAAGATAAGGACCAAAGCTGTGGATTTCCCCGAAATGTAAGTTCCCCGTACCGCACCTGCACAATGCCACTCCATGAAAAAATAGACAGGACCAGGCACATCCAGTTCCCAGGTCATGATCTGAAACCATTTGCCTCTCATTCCGTCTGCATCCCAGACACAAACATGTCGTTGCACCGCCAGCATGCGCTAAATGTCACCTGCATGTGATCAAAACAAGCAAAGAAAAGGCAAACGGGGACAACAGCAGAATGGGATGACACAAACCTTTCTTTCCTTTCGCCTCTTGGATCAACACACGTGTCTTCTCTGTATCTTCGAATTAAACCTTCCAATCAGGATAACACCGCAGGATACTGATTAATGGAGACGTCACATTTGTCAGCAGTCATTGGTTTGTTATAGTTCTACAACAAGAAGAGCTTGTGTATTGCTTGGCAACATGCAAATGTCCTTTCACGAGGATTTCCAATTCTGTCATCGTGCTGGTCTGAAGTATGTTTGAACATTCACAACACTTATTTGAGCTCATCACTAAAACATTTGAGAAGAACAAAATGTCGACTTAGCTTTCGCCGACTTCACAGTCCCTCCCCCACAGTCAGCTTTCAAAGACTCCAATGATTTGATAAATTGTTGTTTTTGTTTTTTGTTTTTTTTTTGTGAGATGAAGCTACATTTCTCGCGGTGCAATCCAGCTCATTCCAAAATTTATACATTCAAATCAGCTTCTCGCGTTGTGAGGGGTTTGGAGAAGACATTCTACGGCTTGATTTGTGAAGCAGTCTGAAGTGTAATGTGGTATTCATTCTCATTAGCTAACACTGATAGCAGAGTACGGCGCTTTATTTCCTTGAAAACAAAACCCAAAAAAAACCCACAGAACATTTGATTGCAATCAAACATGATTTAAGAGCTCAGTTTTTGCAGCGCTGTAGGGCTTCTTTTTCGCTTTTCATCTTGGGAGTCTGTCGCCGTGCCGTGTAAATGTTTGCACCATCCGTGGGTCATTATGTCCTTCCATTTATTTCGGCTCGTTTAATTCAGTGGCCAGTCAAGTGTGCCGTGAACATCTGAGTGATAACAGGGTTTGTATTTAAAATGAGTCTCTTAATTGTCACCTCTGTACTTAACGCTGCCTCACTTGCACTGGACGTTAAGTCTACACACCCCTGTTCAAATGTCAGTTATGTCATGATGTACAATTGAGACCAACGTACATCATTTCAAAACTGGTTCCACCATTAATGTGGCGGATGACCCGAACTACTCAGTAGATTTAAAAAAAATAAGAATAATAATAATCTTTTCAAGAGGGCAAGTAAAAATGTGTGCACAGCTTCTCAGAATTGTGATACACAAATGTGTGTGTGTGTGTGTGTGTGTGTGTGTGTGTGTGTGTGCGTGTGCGTGTGCGTATGTTTCACAGCAGCACTCTGGATTCTGAAGGCGTTGGGCAAATTAAATTTACATGGCGGCACATTAAAGCTGAAACGTGATTGGACAAACTAAATAACTAAATACATAAGCCACAAATGACTGGAAGCTTCACAACCAAGAAACGCGTTATGAAATGAAGACAAACGACTCTTGGAAATGAATTATTACCATTTCATGTAAGTTGAAAATATAGGACCATGCTTCCGATAGTGTTTTGGTCAGCAGAGTCCATGGCCGCACACCAATACTTTTTTTATAATTCAAAAACTTCGGATTTGAGCAGGGGTGTGTAGACTTTTTATATCCACTCTACATAACACTCACTTCAAACTAAAACTGGTGTTTGCCATTATCCTAAACAGAAACAGACGCAGTCAAATAACCATGACCCGAAAGTAAATCATTTGTCAATTTATTTGCCGTTTAAAACAAAAGCATGTCAAAAACATTTGGCAAAAAGTAGGACTTTGCTGTTCACCCTCTCACAGTTTATTCTCCACTTCCACCAAGTGAACGGTTGATTTTACTCCCTGTGGTTAAGTTCCAGAGCCACGCAGCGTCAAGGGCATCCAAAATTCATTCAAAAAAAAAAAAAAGGACGCTCAATGCAACTGATTAGGTGGACTTATTAGATTAATGAGGGAGTTCTTATTTTACTGTTTAATGAACCACCATTTAATTTTAATCAAAGATTCCCCGTGCTGTTTGAACATGGCTTGGATTCTAGAAAACGGGAAAAAAATTTAAGTCTGTCTCAAATGATTGTTTTTTTGACACTCATGAAATCTTTAAGCTGTTTTGTATTTTTCGAATGCGGAAAGAATGTCATCTTTTGAGCATAGAGGTCACAATAACAGCCCAAGGGCATTCAGCCAATGAGCTCCGTGCTGTTTGAACATGGCTGGGATTCTAGAAAACGGGAAAAAGATTGAAGTCTGTCTCAAATGATTGTTTTTTTTTGACACTCATGAAATCTTCAAGCTGTTTTGTATTTTTCGAATGCGGAAAGAATATCATCTTTTGAGCATAGAGGTCACAATAACAGCCCAAGGGCATTCAGCCAATGAGCAAGAGTCAAGGGTGAGTCTCGGTGTGTATGCTTTCTATTCATTTTACATGGGCTCCTAATTAACCTCCTGTGGCAAAAGATATTCTCCCTTCAAGGTTGTCCCTACCTCCTATGAACTCGGCTTACTCGGCCAAGAAATCAGTCGTCAACCTGTCTTAACTCCCACTCGTTAGCGCAGAAGAGAGTTTGTTTAAATAGCTCCTCAAGCCATGAATATAAAATATAAATGGGGGGGGGGGAACAATAACATAAAACAAGCCCTTAGTTTC